CCCCCCCCCCCCCGGCTTACACAGGTTGTTTCCCCCTTCCCAAGGATTCTGTGTGTCAGCAGCGCTGTGGGAAGGGTTTTACAAGACACAAGATGCTCTTATAACCTCCCCCTGAGCCATCAGGTTGTTCCCTTCAGCAGCAACACGTCTTGGAGCTGCTTCCTTCTCCCTGGCCCAAGACGCACTTACCCAAAACCATCTCTAAAAATTCATTTGTGCTGAATTCTCCTGCTGGTGTTTCGACACATCGGCTCCACGGAGGCTTTCGATTTGGTATGAAAAGTAATTATTACTGGGGCGCAGTTTAGCAGTTGTGTTTTACAGTGCTGGTAAGGTTAAAAGAAATAATAATAATAATATAAGAAAGACTCAGCCAGAGTAACTGCCTGCAACATGCTATTTGCATTTTTAAGGAAATACTTCTTTGAGACAGCTTGGGTGAAAGGTCGACATTTGCATATAAATGGAAAAGAAAGTGTGTGATGCTGGAAGTTACATCTATATTATTTTCTCAGCAGTGTGCTGCTGTTTCGGAGATTAAGGGACACGGTTTGCATTTGGCTTTCACTGAATAGAGAAGGTACCAGGAAAGCCAAATTAGAACAAAATAATGAGGGAAATGTGCAAGAAGAAAGCAGCGATATCCTGTTTCTCGGAGATGCTCTCTTGCGTGCCGGAGGCGTTACACGGCTGTTTGCACACACACTGGGCACAAGCAGATGAGCGTGGCTGAGCAGGACTCCCTCTGCGTGCACAAAAGGCTGGACGCTGGAGATGAAGCTGTCGGCAGGAGCGGTCCAGGCTGTGGATAAGCCTGGCAGAAGGGGGATGCTGGCACTCGTTTGGAAGTGATAAGCTGGGGTTTCCTTGATATTTAATTTGTTGTTGTTGTTGTTCAGGCTCAGGTATGTTTGGAAGAGGAATTAAGCATCAGGCTCATATGAAGTGGTGGAGTCCCCATCCCTGGAGGGGTTGAAGAGTCGGGCTGAGCCAGCGCTGAGGGATCTGGGGGAGTTGGGAAGGGTCAGGGTGAGGGTCATGGTTGGGCTGGAGGAGCTGCAAGGGCTTTTCCAACCCAGAGGATTCTGTGAAGTTCCTGCTATTGCAGTAGGGAAAAAACTCTTAGTGGCTGGTAGGGTGAAGGCAGGAGGCAGAAACGCCCACAGCTCAGCTCTCGCTGTTGCCTTGGGCCTTGGAAACCCCAAAGAGAACCTCAGCGCTTTGTTTTCCCTCGTGTTGGTGTCCCCTCTCACCATGCTCAGGGCGGCTTTGCATTTTGACAGCTCCCCCAAGGAGCCAGGAGAAATGGGATGTTGACCAGTGTTCACTCTATTCTTTTTTTTGGATCAATACACTTCAGAGCAATGCACAGACAGCAGTGCTACTGTGGCACGCAGCGTTTATTCCTCTCTTGAAGAGTACGCAAGTGATACAAGGATGGAAGGCGAAAACCACCTTCTTTTATACCTTCTGCAGCGCTTCGTAGTGTGCTTCTGCCACTGTGTAGGAAAAGAAAAAAGACTCTAATAAAAAAAGTCTTATTAACTGGCCATGAACACTGGAGCATGAATATTGCACTTAATGAGGAGAGACTGTAGCCTCATTTGCTCCCTTTGCATTGTAGGTGCATTGAGGGCTTCGGCTCCTGTAGCTCTGGGTGGTACAGAGGAACAGGATGAAATGTTGGTCCTTCCCTGGAGCACTTGGGGCTCCAGGGGTGCAGCGCTGCTGGGTGCTGGGATGGAGAGAAGGCAGCGCAACCGTTGCAAGGGCCTGGGGATGCCGGTCCCGTGGCAGGGTGATGTCTGTACCTTGTTCCTGGCAGATCTTTAACCTGCTGCTGAGGGTTTTGCCCCTTCTCCAAGGAGCAGGTTTTGGTGCTTCTTCCCTTCCTATTGCAGCGTGTCCTCGTGTTTGGGATATATGAATCTTCTCGTGATTAAGCCGTTTGCTCTGTGTCCTGTCCCAAGGCTGCGGGAAAGGGACGATTCCCTTTTCCCATCAAGGAACTGACAAAGAAAGTTCAAAAGCATCCGGAGGTGCCAGGTATCACAGGGCAAAGCACGAGCTGGCATGGCTGAGGCGGCCACAGGGGCTGACGCAGCTGCCTGGGCAGAGGTGGCAGCTGATGACATCAAAAGCAGGCTGAGCCAAGAGGTGAGGTGGCATGGGGCTGGGAAGGAGGATGTGAGTCACTTGTGCTTCATGCAGTGCTGGAGGAGGGAGCCAAGGAGGGGGATGCTCCCGGGACTGCTGGCTGACCCCTGGGCACTGCAGGAATTGCTGGAAGGAGGGTGGCAGGTTCTTGCGGCTGGAGATGGAGAAACAGTGGCATCGTGCTGGCAGTGACCTGTTCCCTTCCTCTTTGCATAGCCAGATGGAAACCTGGGTGCTGCCCTCGTCTCCTCTGTGCCCCCAGGACCCGTGGAGCTGAGCAGGGCTGTACACCTCTGAGCCGTGCTGGTGCTGAGCCAGTTGCTTAGTGGGTTGGCAACACACGCCGTGCTGCAAGCATCTGTTTGGCAGTGAAAGCGCTAGAAAGGCTTGATCCTGCTGAAATCAAACCCCTTATTTTCCTTTGGGTAAGGGGAAAATAAAAAGATCAGAGTGCACATCACAGATTTCACAACCTTTGATGTTGCAGCGTGTGGTTCGGTAGCGCAGTGGGTTAAGCCAGCCCTGCATGTTTGTCGGGGCCGTGGGATCAAAAATCCAGCTCACCGGTACGCTGAGCTGTTGGGTGTCCAAACAGCCGCGCAGTGCAGCGAGGCACCGTCCGGCTCTGCGCTTCGGCAAGACGAGGCGAGGCTGGGAGTGACGTGGGGACGAGGCGCAGCGAGCCCGGGGCTGCGGGAGAGGGATGCGCTGGGTCAGCGTGACGACGGAGCCAGGTGGTGGGAGCAGCAGGAGACCAAGCGTTCGGGTGAAGTGCCCTGGGGACCAGCCCAGGGAGTCGCTGGGACACACGTATCCCTCGTCAAGGGCAATGACGTTTGTCAACTTGCTTTAAATAAGAGTTACTATTAGGAAGTGCAGGGTGGCTGTGGCTCTTGCACACAGCGGAAGGGATCTCCCAGGTGCTGGGAGAAGATGACCGTATCCCACCATTCGCTCCCCTTTCACTGGAGTTCACTGGTTCCCCGCCTTGCTGTCGGTGCAGACACAGGCGTGGGGTCAGGTCCCTGCAGCCTGGCCCCGGCTTTGTAGGAGAAAACAGCTCATGGCTCCCCCATTTCTCCCTTTAGGGAGATTATAAACTCTTTGGGACTTGTCCAGGTATAAGGTCCCTAGGTGAGAGAATCAAAGCTTCGCATCTGCCAAGCTCTTTCCAAACACGCTAAGCAAATATATCTTTAGGTCAGCAAGTGAACAACAAAGAGGAACCTGCAATCTAGTTGGCCATGCTACACCTCCCATCCGTGTATCCCGTCCTAGCTGATTATTAAATCATACTTGCTGATAAGTGTGAGATGTAATATCTATTACACAGCTGTTAAACCTCAATTAATATGTTTTAATGATCAGTCATTTACTGTGCAATATACAATTAACATCCAGTATTAGATCTTAAATTAAATGCATGTTTAGGAAGCTAAATTTGAAGCACTGAACATAGCCGTGCCACAGTAAACAGCGATAATTGCGTTGAATAGACAGTATTTCTGTGCCCTGAGAGGGGGTTAAACCAACACTCCTGGCGACAGAGGAGAATGGAGAAGAATTGCTAAAGTGGCTGGGTTCTATTTTTTTCAGTGTATTTTGATCCCTATGGAGGTTTTAATTCATCTCCCTTGAAGGAAGAGAAAAAAAAAAAAAAAAAAAAAAAAAAAAAAAGGCACCCTGATGCGTAGCTGCCGCGCTCCTGCATGGGTGAAGGCTGAAGTAGCAGGTTCTGGCGTGGGGTTTCGGCTCGGAGGAGCCTTTTTTTGGCAAGGGCTGGGCGGGAGCGTGGGGCGATCAGTCGTGCTTCAGGCTGCGCTGAGTGCTGGGGGCTGCGCGCAGGGGTGCAGGGCGCAGCGAGGGTCTGCGACTGAAGCCTTAAATCAAAGATTAGACTCACGTTGCCAGCGGGAAGAGAAGTCCTCACTGCCCCGTGGGTTTGGGGCCACGCAACAAAGCAAACTGAGCTCTTGGTGTTCTCCAGGCAGCGGCTGGTGGCCACGGAGAGCAGCGTGTGCAGGCGATGAGCTGCAGTGGGTGCAGGGGCCCGTGGGTGCCTTCTGCAGCTTAGAGAAGATGTAAAATCTGAGTCTGAGATTATTTTTTCTTTTAACTCATAAGAAAGATGGGCTCCAAAGGGCACCCTCCTATCCCAGGAGTATTTGCTCCGGGAAGCGAGCCCACGTTCTCTGGTGGGACACTGGAGGACCCAGCCTGTCCTCCGCACGTTGCTGCCCTGTTAACACAGGGTTCACCTTTCCCAACGAAAAAATGCGCCTGAGCAAAGATGACGAAAAATCTTACACTCTTCCTTTTATCTTTTCTCGCACTTGGGGGAGCAAATGAAGATTGATATGTTTTTCTTCTAGTCTTTCAGCTTAAATATGCGGTGACGCATCTTACGAGGAAATGAAGCCTTCACCCCCCATCTTTTCTCTAAGGAACCTGTCTCTCACCCCATCACTTCGCTATAGCAGATGTAACCTCTGCATAGATTTGACAGTGTAAGGACACGTGTGGGAGCCGGCTGCCACCCAGGCAGCCCCCTCCTGCAGCATCCCGCCTCACTTTCTGTTCCCCTTCCGTGCTCCGAAGCTTCCTATGAGGTTCGCTGGGTTTATTTTGGGGGGAACTTTTGGCCATTCTTTGGAGGGTTTAATTTTTTGGCAGATCAGTGCTTTCTTCTCTCTTTGGAAACGGAAAGTGAAACACACCCCAAGTCTGATTAACACTCTGAATAGCGTGTGGTCTCCCTCCCAGGTTTCCGTATTTTCTTGTTTGGAGTTGTTGAGGGGGACCCAAAGGTTTCTCAGAACTTGCTCTTTCGTGCCTGGATTCTGCACAACTCGCAGCACTTCACAGCTGAGCTTTGTAGATATTTCTGAAGGAGAGAGACAAATAGATTCAGGGTTTGGGAAACAACCTCATTTGGAAGGGGACACACGGATGTTTTGGTGGTGGATTGTCATAAATGTTGATGGGGAAAAGCAGCCTGTCTAGTGAGGGACCCCAGCGTGTGTGATCCAATCCTGACTAGGGGGTGGGCACTGAGGCTGGAGCAGGTGGGGAAAAGCTGGAGTTTTCCTTTGGAATGTGAACATCAGGCAGTGATCTATCAGACCAGCTGAGCATCTCGGTTGGTTTTCAAGGGGGAGTGGATGCCAGCGCTCCTGGTTGTGAGCTTTGGCTGTCCCAGCTCTGTACCAGGAAGGAACCCCAGAACGTGCCGTTCACTCTGGGATCTGCTTCCCATGGGCAAAAACTCGTGTTTAAGGCGACATCCCACATCTCCCCTTGGGTGGTCCAGGTAGGGGTTAAGAGAAGAGTCCTTCAGGTAGCCAGTCAGCTGCATTTCTGCTGAACCCAGGGTCCGGAGGTGAGGTGGGAAAGGCACAGCCAGCAGCGCAAGCTGATCCTCTCCAGAGACCAGATGCATTTAAGCAGCGTGGAGTAGAGGAAATCTGAGTCGCGTGTTGACGGAGCTGCCTTGGCCACCCGAACCGGGCTGGGCAGAGGGACAGGGGCGAGCAGGAGGGTGCTGAGCTGGTGCAGCCAGCGCTGAGGCTCCTCACCCCAACACACAGCCCCTTCCCCTCCTCCTGCTCACAGGGACGAAGGCACAGGAGGTTGGGATGGGGCCTGTGGCAAGAACAAGCTGGCATCTCGGGCCAGATTCCCCACGGCAGCTCCTGGAACTCACCCTTAGCCTACAACTTAGGCCTACATGAGCAAGACAGCCCCAAAGAGGATGAGTATGCCTGTGTGTTTTGCCATTTTTGCCTCCTCAGGGTTGAATCTCATGACCTCTCAACCTTTCAAAAATCTTTTAAGCTGTCTTTAGGGTTATCTTGCATCCAGGATCCATTGTTTCTACAGTTTAACCTCCTCTCTGCTCCTGCCCCCACTGCATCCCAGAGGATGCTGCTGCTATGAAACATGCTGCTTGGGAGAAGGGTGCTCAGTGAAGTGCTTCAGATAAGCAGACAGGCTGTACTGACCTATGAATGTGCTATAGAAACATCTTTATTCTTCTTATTTGATTTTTTTTTCCTTTCTTCTGTCCTTTTCTATCTTCTTTCCCACATTTTGCTTGGTTTTAATCATCTGCCTGGCCATCTGTGCCTTCCTGCTCCCTTTCCTCCGAGCTTCTCCAAAGCAAAATAATGCTTCAGCAACTCCTGGATTTTGTTTCCAAGCCTTGTGCCTTTCCTGTGGGTCGGGGCTGGAACACAGTGCTTCAAACAGGGTTTGGAGTGGAGTCTCCACCACAGATGTTTCTCCCGTGAAACCTAGAAAAGTTCCCCCAGCTGCCCTCCTGGCTTCAGAGCGGCTCTGTTTTAGGACAAATACGTGAAGGTGACTGTCACGGTCATCTATCTTAGGCACTAACTTGGACTGTACGTCACCATAGGATCGAATTATCCCAGTCTCTCAATGTACTTGTTCTTGCAAGAGCACTGTGGGATGTACTGGTTGTTCCTTAACGTCTTATGGATAGAGAACAGACACCGGCAGGGGAGGAATAAACGCCCTAGCTACTTGCTGCACGTTCTCCTAAAAGCTGCTTTGTGGCAGAGCAGACCCAGCGTTGCTCGGCTGGTGTCCTACACGGCTCAGCAGTTAGCCATTGCTGGAAACACCCACCTTCCACAGGTTTCCTTTAGCGTGCATGAGCCCTCTCCTTGCTTTTGCTGTCTTTGAGATCACCCCAATAATAGAAACATCAAGCCAAGGAAGCACAGGAGCCTGTTCCAGCAGAGGAAACGTAGCCTCTGCCCTGAGCTCTTCCCCGGGCTATTAGCAGCCCGAGATGAATGAGCGTGCCGGCACGTGTGTAGCTCCTCACGTGTCTCCTTCTGGGGGATGCTCTCCTTTTGCTTTGCATCGGTGGTAGAAGATGAATGGAGTAAGACTTGGAGAACAGGCAGTAAATTATTCAGTACTCAATGCCAGAGGGAGCCGCAATTAAAGATGCGAGGGGAAGGCTCGCGGCGGCGGTGCCCAAAGTGACAAGGGTTTGCCAAGGTGAGCTGTGACACTGGGGGCCCGGAGGCCAGAGACCGGGGGCAAACGCTCTCAGTCTCATCCCAGTGAGCAACCAGGGCTCAGCAGGGAGGCCGTGCCGGGCAGCTCCCGCGCCACGGCATCTCCTCCACGCTGGCCCAGCTGCCGCAGATCCTCCACCGCCTCCGGTGCCGGCCCCGTGAGGGTGTTTGAAGTTGAAGGGCAAGTGCCAAGAATCTGCTTGTAAAGTACATATTTCCCAGAATCTTCATCTCCAGATGGTGGCTCCTCTCGCTGTAATGACCCACTGACGTCACGGGGTTGTCGTTGGAAACCTGGGTGGGGATCCCGCTCGGCTCTCAGTGCTGCCCAGCTGACGGCTCCCATCCGCAGCTACAGATGTGCAAATCTTTGTGAAAGAGTAAAACTGAATTTCACCTCTGGAAAAAGAAGAGGGTGTAAGGGAGAAGCCCTTTGCCAGCCAGCGTGAGGCTCCCGGGCGGGTGCAGGCAGGTGCCTTGCCCAGCCCACCAGTGACACTCCCTGTTACTCCTTGTGTTTTCCAACCGAGGGCCAAGCTGAGCAGCGTTGTAGTGTTTGGGGTAGGCTGAGGCTACATGTACAATTCCTTCATGGTTGGGGCTCTTGGCCTTGGTGGGGCACCCTGGGGTCCTGCTCTGGGCATGGAGACCCTCAGGCAGGATTTGTATGGCCATTAAAGAAAACAAGCAGGGAATAAATATTGAGTTTTTTCCTCTGGTTGATGCTGCTGCTGAGGTGCTGGGCTGATTCTGTGTCCTGACCCCGTGTTCCTCTTCCCCTCCCCAGAAAATGAGTTTCGGGGTGAGCTGCTGAATCAGAGGTGGACCTGCGGAGAGAAGATCAGCAGCTGCGAGGGAGCCGCCAGCCTGCACGGCGCACGCATCAAGGTGAGCAGAAAGCACTCGATCTTCCACATGTACTTTTTTGGTACGGTGACCCCCCCCGCCCCATGCACTGGCCACAGGATGAGGGCCACGTGCTGCTCCAGCCAGGTGGTCCCGGGGAGATGGAACCTTTCCGGTACCCAAAGTGATGGGCAGGACTTGGAAGTCTCTGTCTCCTTGCTACAGCCAAACCTCCTGCCTGGTGAATCCGGGCAGAGAGGGCTTCCAGCTGTCAAGATTTGGCTTTGACTCCAGATATTTAAATCTTTGCCTTCCTCTCCGGTCCCATCCTTCAAGGATGGCTCAGATCTAGATATTTAGGTCAGTCCCAACCCTCTTAAAATAGACCCTTTCTCCAAGGCGCCGGCTGGTCGGAAGAAGCCCCTCGCACGCCAGGTGAAGCTGTGGTGCCTTTGGAGAGGACAAGCGAGGCATTCATCCCCTGCGGGACCCCGGGCAGCTCCTGGGGGCTCAACAGAGCCACTCATTTACTGCTGCAGCTGTGGCTGATGAAAGAGGTCCAGCCAAGGCTGTCAAACCTCCTGGCAGATTCACTGCCAGCAGATGAGGAAGCTTTAATTAAGTATAGAACTGGGCTGCTCATTACGTAAATGGCACTTCCCGTCCTGTTTTGGCCTCTCGGTTGTGAGGCAGCGTCTTGGATGGGCGGATGGACCCACCTGGGTGGTGGAGGAAGCCCTCCTTGGGTGGCTGATGTTACCCACTACTCTTCCTGTATCCCCAAATAAACCGAGCCCTGGGAAAACCCCAAATCAGGAAAAACCCCACCCTTAAAAACCATCCGTCTTTGCTAACAAGCTGTCAGCTGCGAGCAGGTGTCGCCAGGAAAGCTCACACCTTCTTAGAAAGCAGAGTAAGCAGTTGTTGCTATATTTAAAACGAGCTCAATTAAGGCTTTTCTATTGAACCTGCCAAATAAGCACTTAGATTAGATTTAATAAGATTGTTGTACGTTAATAAAGCAATGATTACAAAAGGTAATATTCCCAGTACCTGGTGCTCATCTAGTGCTCTGCCTCTGCCGAGCACATTGCTAATATTTACTGATTCTTGCAAGCCCCGGCTCTGCTCAGCTGTGTCTTAACGGAGTGACTGGTCTGGGGGCAGAAGGAGGAGGTGGGGAGGGGGCATCTGAAGTGGGAGCAGGGTTTGGGGAGCTGCAGCTTTTGGAGGTGGTAGCGCTGGTCCTGCAAAGCCGGGTCTGTGAAGAGTCACCCCACGGGGTGTCGAGGGTACGCAAGGGCCTGATCCTGCGTGTCTCAGGCTGCGAGACTGAGCCTGTTGGCCTGAGGTGTGCGAGTGAGCAACAGAGGAATTCTGCCCCTTTGTTATAAAAGGGAAATTAAACCTGAATGGGAAGGGAGGAGGAAGCCCCTGGCTTTGCTAAGGCTGTTGCTGGCTCTCTATGAGGAGTTTTCCCCCTGTGTAACTAAATCCATTCAGGCAAATTAAAAAAAAAAAAGAAATGTTTCTGCCTATCAGTGCAGTAGCATATTTATTTTCTGCTATGTTTTCCTAAAATCCAGGTAGAATTTAGGATAGTTTATCCCTGGAGATTGCGTTTGTGTGTGTGTGTGTGTGCAGCCCTCTTACCTCACGGCAGGGGAGGGGTTTCAATCCCTCTCTAACCTTGGGATCCCCACCATGTGCACACGCGTGAACTCTCCTGTGTGCTCATAGATGCATATTGTATTTAAATAGTTTTTCACGCCGGTTACAGCTCGTAATCCACACGATGCGCAACGGTGAAGGACGATGGGACGTGGGGCACGTTTACTTATTTATTTTCGCCTCCGAGGAAGTCCAGGCCCAGGATAAAATTTCCCGTGACAGGTCTGAAATGAGATCTCTGAGGAGCGCGAGGGCGAGGCGCACTCTGCGCGGAGCCACCGGGGACCCTCCACACGGGTGCTCCTGCTTGTGCTCGGCCTGGACCACGGTGGCTGGTGGAGAAATGGATCTTTTCTCCCAAATCCCTGTCATGCTGTGCCCTGGTGAGCTAGCTGGGGGTCGGGAGCAGTGGGCAGGCTGCCTGCTCTCAGGCCAGGCAGGGCTGATGCTGATGGAGCCACCAGAGCCCATCCCCTGCCACGAGCTGCTGCAATCCTTTACGGAGATGTGCACATAGCTCGCTTCAGCGGTCGCCTCGCATTGTGCCGCTCAAGGATAATCTTATGAAAAAGGCAGCTTATTGCCGAGCTTGAAAACAATGAGGTTGAAGAGCTGCGATTTTTTTTATTTTTTTTTTTTTTTCCCCCTCTCCCCTCCCCTACCCCTCCTCTTCTGGCATAAGAGCTGTTTGCACGTCCGGAGCCACTTAGATCTCTCGGCACGTGAAATGGCGTTTGGGTTGCGTGTTGTAGCACTTTCGAACAGTCAAGAGGAAAGTATATGTCAACTTAAACTGCTGCATATGAAATCACCCCAGCTTAATGCTCGAGTGTCAGCGCTGCGGAGGCGCGCGGTACAGCTGCGGCTGTGTCAAATGCGATGCTTGGGAGCATCTTTTCTGGTCCACTTCACTCGCGTGGAGGATGCCTCTGCCACGGCTACAGAGCATTAGCGCTCGGGAAGCGTTTCACTGCCAGCATGGGGCTTTTTTTTTTTTTTTACAGCTTCAGGAGGATGTTTGTGACACAGCTGTAATTTTTAATTCGAGGTGGGTACAAGCTGTGGTTTTGCCTCTAAAGACATGAAGGCAAAATCCTCCCCCTGACTCCAAGCCCGAGAACACCGCGCAGGGTGTCCTTCCCTGGAAGCAGTCGGAGAGCAAAAGGCAGACGGTAGCTTACTCAGCCGAGGATGGGACTCACAATAGGTGGAATGTCAGGAGGATTTAAATCAAGCAGCAAGGAAGACCCTAAAGGAAGAAAGGGGGGGAGAAAAAAAACCTAACCTCAGAGTGTGGTTATAAAATAGCAGCTGGGAGCTACTACTGAGCCTTTTTTTAAAAGTAGAGGCAGACTCTTGATCAAGGGTATTTCTTCCTTCAACACCCCTTATTTGATTTTATTTTTTAAAAAAACTTAACAGCTAGAGAAAGTCCAGTGGGACAAAGCCCTCTTCATTTTCTGCAATGACCCATGATGCCGTGGCACTTTGCAGAGAGAAAGATTCGGAAGACCCAGATCCAGGTCTCTTCACCTGTGTTCAGCCTGCAGCAGGCAAAGGGGGATTCCTCATGGGGTGGGGAAAAAAACATCCCCCCCCAAAAAAAAAAAAAAAAAAAAAGCAGAGGGAGGGGAAATCAGGAGAGGCCATTCAAACCCATCCTCAGCGGCTGGTGGGTGCCGAGGGGCAGGTTTGGTGCCTGGCTGTGATTTGCCCCAGAGTTACGTCCAGCTGGACCTCAGGGTTTGCTCCCTTCATTGTCTCGTGCTGATGAGCTGATCCCGGGTAGGAAAGGAGCAGCTGACAACAGTGCAAATTAACCACAAAATGAATCTTGCCCTGGTGATGGCTTGAAGGATTTTGCTGGGACGAGGTTGGCGATGGTGGAGGGTTCCCACTCAGCATCCTCCTCCCTTCCCTTCCCTCATCCTGGCTTTGAGCCCAGCCCTGAAACGGGGCTGTGGGAGCTGGACCATCCCCTGACTCTGCGTGGCCAGGGCAGAGCGTGGCCAGCGCTGCCTTTTCCCTCCAGGAGCTAAAAAAGAGGCTCTTTGGACCTGGAACAGAGGAAGGACCAAGTAGAAAACCACTTTTCAACCATTCTGTTGGGAAAATGTGATTTCTTCTGGCATTTTCCTCCTCCTGATTTACTTGCTGCTAGGCAAATTTGTTTGGTTGGGTTGTTTTTTTTTTTTTTTTTTTGTTATTTTTTAGCTAAAAATAGAGCCTCTGTCTGTCCTTCTGAAGCTCGGACACCGCTTCTTGCAAATGGCATTTTGCTCTATCCACAAATAAGCACTGATGGAAGCTCTGCTGCTTTTCAGAGTTAAATAAATATTCCCGCTGAATCCTCACCTCCCTTTGTCCAGCTGAAGGCTTTTTCAGCATGTTTATTTTCTCTGAGCTCCATGGTGCTCTTGAATACATATAAAGTATTACCGCTGACCGTGGGGAATTTCAGCATGGCCCTTAATGGCATATTTGCATAGAGCTGTCGAAGCCCAGGCACACCTGGGCATCAGCACTTGGGAGGCTTCAGCAGTTTTATGTTAGCACCTAGGTCTTCCATTGGAGAAAAAAAAAAAAAAAAAGAAAAAGTGTATTAAGATAAGAAAGAAGAAGAAAATATCAACCCTGTAGGTAGTCCATAAAATTAAAGTTCAGATCTGTGCTGCTGTTCCCATGCTGTATTGCTGTAGTTGTGGCAGCAGAGCAAGACTCTTACTGTAGAATTAGGCTGTTAAAATTCACATTGTGCTTGGGTTAAACTGTCTTTCAAGTTTTATCTGTCTGAACCTCGTTGATTTAGATTTGCAGGACATCAGCAGCACAGCTTGGATTATGGTTGTGTCAGGAAGGTCCTTAGTGGGGGGCAAACACATGGTGAGAAATAGTCCCTGCACTGGAGCACCTTTAGAGAGAAGATCTAAAAAAAGGGGCACCCAGCGATGAAGGGATGTTCCCAAGGTTACCCTGACTGTCAGTGGCAGAGCATGGAGCTGAATCCTGAAGTGAGTAACCTGAGGCCCAGCACAGGGTCTCTCCCAGTGTTGTCTCCTGGTGTTGGTTAGGAAACCTGCTAGATGCTTATTTTGGTTTAATGTGAGAGGTAGTCGAGTGATAAGGTGAGGAGGAGTGGAATAAACCTCCGCCTTTTCCAGCTGGACTAACACGCTCTGAGGCTGGCATCTGGTGGCAATAATTTATTTGCAGGTTTCCTTTCAGATTGCTTTGTTTTCCATTCAGAGTTAAAATAATAAGAGTGAAATCGAGACAGCTTCTCATCCTGGCTATTATGTGAGAAAGAACAAATGAAAATACCCCGTCAGTCTCTGAGACTGCAAACATGCACTATGTGAC